GAGGGAGGAGGGGCTGGGGGCCTGGACTCCTGGGTCTGAGGGAGGAGCAGCTGGGGGTCTGGACTCCTGGGTCTGAGGGAGGAGGAGCTGAGGACCCAGACTCCTGGGTCTGAGGGAGGAGGGAGCTGGGGCCTAGACTCTTGGGTCTGAGGGAGGAGGGGCTGGGGGCCTAGACTCCTGGATCTGAGGGAGGAGGAGCTGGGGCCTGGACTCCTGGGTGTGAGGGAGGGAGAGCTGGGGCCAGGACTCCTGGTGTGAAGGAGGAGGGCTTTGGGAATTGTTCCCTAGTCCCTGGACACCAGCGCTCCTGGCCTCTGGGGCAAGACAGAAGCGCTCAGCTCTGGGCCTGTCATCCCAGTTCAGGTGTGTGGAGGGGTCTGTCCCACCCTTTCCTCTGCCCTCAGACCTGGGCCTTGTTGGGGGTTCACAATATGTTTTGTCCCCTCTGTCCTGGGACTGGAGCCCAGACTCCAAGCCGGTCTAAGTTTGGAAGGGAGAGGGAGGGGGCAGCCGTCAGAGGGGGTGAGGGAGGGGTGTGGGGGGACAGGATGTCTCTGTCTCTGAGCTGTCACACACACCCCTGTCCCGGGCCCAGAGAAAGGGAGGGACAAAGGCTATGAGAGAGAGTCAGGAACAAAGAGGAGGAGAGAGACGCAGAGACACTGGCGAGAGCGGACGGAGATGCCCAGAGGGGCCGGGAGAGACGGGAAACAGACAGACAGAGAGAGGGGAGAAGGCAGGGAGCAAAGCGTGGGGACACCCCCAGAGTTGGTGGAGAAAGCGTGGGGACAGTGTGCGGACAGAGGAGAGGGGCCGGCGACCCACAGAGACGGGACAGGGACGGGGAGTCCCACCCCAGAGACCCAAGGGCAAGACAGAGACAGGGAGGGTGGAGAGAGACGGGGAGAGAAGGAGACAAAGACACACAGAGAGAGGAGAGACAGAGGGAGCAAGAGAGAGACTGAGAGAAAGGTGTTCATGTAGAAGGAAGGAGAGACTGGGGTTGGCTGAAGAGAGGGGAAGAGAGGGTGGGGGAGTCAGGGCGGTCCCCTGGGAAGCACAGCGAGGGATACACCCAGAGGGTGGCAGGAGGGCACAGAGAGGCAGAGACACTCCTCCAGACAGACAGACTCGGACAGACAAAGGGTGACTGAGGCTGACCTTGCAGACAAGCTTCCAGCCCTTGGCTCTGCGCAGCGAGAACCTGTGGGGTGCAGGGGGCTGGTCGCTCTCTGGGGAGCCCTGACAGGGGGAGTCCTGCCCAAGGGCCACCCCACATCAGGAAGCCCTGAGATGGAGCACAGGGCCTCCGAGACCCCTGAGGATGGGGACCCAGAGGTGAGAGACGGGAGACAGGGGAGGAAGACACAGAGAAAAGAAGGAGAGGCAAGAGGCAACACGGGGAGACAGAGGAAGAGAAACAGAAAACAGGGAAATGCAAAGATCTCAGAGACCCAGACCCAGGGAGAGAGGATGACTGAGATCCAAGGACACACAGCGAGACCGAGGCCCCCAGAGAAATGGACTCAGAAACACAGAGCGGGATGCACAGGGGAAGAGGACAGTGGAGAGAGAGACTGGGGTGGGCGGGGGGCCCGTGTGGACTAAGGATGCACCCCCGCTTAGGGCTGGGGGCTCCTGGTCCACTCCCACAGATGGGGGCAGGCGGGGCCTCTGTGACAAGGACCCCTAACCTCGCCAGAACACAAAAACAGGTGGCCCGAGTCCGGGTGAGTCACTGTGACTCATCCTCCTCTCTGGGGACAGTGACCCCTGTCCCCTGCCCCCACCCTCCATCCCCGGACTGCGCCGTGACCTCCTCCCTCGCCATTCTCAGTGGACCCCAGACTCGCCCCCTCCTCACCCTGCCCCTCTCCCATAGGAGGACACAGCCACAGCCCTCCAACGGCTGGTGGAGCTGACGGCCAGCAGGGTGACCCCAGTGAGGAGCCTTCGGGACCAGTACCACCTCATCCGGAAGCTGGGCTCCGGCTCCTACGGCCGCGTGCTCCTCGCCCAGCCTCACCAGGGGGGTGAGTTCGGCCACCCAAGGGCAGCCTCCCCAACCGCCACATAATAAGTGTTCTGGGAAGCCACCCAACCAGGGAGAATTCCCAGGAGGAGCTGATGGGGACCCTTCTCGGTGGGGACGCTCTGAAAGTTAAGAGCTCTGGGATCTTCTGAGAAACACAGGACCCACCCCAGAGAGGGCGAGGGGCTGCCTATGGTCCCACGGCAAGACAGGTTTGCAACTCAGGTTGGAACCCAAGTCGTCGTCATGCCTCTTACTTGATGCCAGGGGAAACTGAGGCCCAGAGAGGGTGAGGCGGCTGTGGAAGCCCATGCCGCAGTCCAAGGCAGAGCAGGGAGGGTCTTCAAAGAAGGTCTCCTCCCACCCACACCTCACAGAGGGAGGAGCCCGTGCTGCCCATGAGAAATGTGAGGCTCAGAGAGGTTACACGGCTTCCCTCAGGGCCTGTGCACAGCAGGACCGAAGCCGCCTGAGTGTCCCCCCAACCCATCTCCCCGGCAGGTCCGGCTGTGGCTCTGAAGCTCCTGCGTCGGGATTTGGTCCCGAGAAGCACCTTCCTGAGGGAGTTCTGTGTGGGCCGCTGCGTCTCTGCACACCCAGGCCTGCTGCAGACCCTGGCAGGACCCCTACAGACCCCCCGCTATTTTGCCTTCGCCCAGGAGTACGCGCCCTGTGGGGACCTCAGCGGGATGCTGCAGGAAAGGGTGAGGCCACGAGGGACAAAGGTTGGGAGCGCTTTTCCCAAGTCCAACTCTGTCCCAAGCCTCGTCTCTATCTCCAACTCTGACCCCCAAATCAGGACCCGCCCAACCCATCTCCACCCTGAGCCCCCACATGACCTCCCACTTTCTAACTTTCAATGAGTTTCTATGCCTGACCTCAACCCTAATCCATCTAATCATCCAAACACAAGCACGGAAGGGCAGGGAGCTGAGGGTGGGATTGAGGATGGACTAGGGTCAATGAAGGGGGTGGGGATGGAGACGGGGTTGGGATTTTAGTTGACTCTGGGGTTAGGGCATGGGCATGGGTGGAGTTGGGTGGGTTGAGTTTGGAGTTGATTACAGATTGATCATGAGTATGGAGAAAAGCATGAATAGGGTTGCAGAGGGAAACAGATGGTTGAGGATGTGTATACAGACTGAGTTGGAGATGGGCTGTAATGGGGTTTCTTCTAGAAAGGAGACCAGGTCAGGACAGAACCCATGAGATTCTAGGGCCTCTTGAGTTTGGAGATTAGAGGTAGGGATAGTTTCAGGAATAGATTTTGGATTTGAGATAATGGTGGGTATAAATGGAAGGAACAAAAGAAGGATAGGGATGAGGAAGGTATATGTGGATGAATGAGTCTCATTGAGAATTAGAAGGGTGGAAGGATGGGTGAGTGGATGGATGGATGGGTGAATAGATGGGTGGAAGGAAGGTTTGGTAGATGGATGGGTGGGTGGATGGATGGGTGGGTGGATGGATGGATGGATGGATGAAAGGATTGGTGGGTGAGTGGATGGATGGATGGATGGATGAGTGGATGGGTGAGTGGGTGGATGGATGGATGGATGGATGAAAGGACTGGTGGGTGGATGGATGGATGGAAGGAAGGATTGGTGGGTGGATGGATGGATGGATGAAAGG